AATAATGTATCAAACCTTAACTGAATTGTATGAAGACTGCTTCCAACCTAGTGAGATTAAATACAACAAACTCACCTCTACAGAGATAGCTATTAATAACTATGGATACACCCTTTACATCATCAGTATATTAGCTAGCTATCTTAAACACATCTTGATAACTGCTTCCTCTATTATATATTACTAGAAAGAAGATATTCTCACAAATAATAATTGGTACATGATGATATTTCTGAGTAATATAGCATAGAAAAATATTTCGATGTCACCTATGTGTAAAAATAATATAATTTGATTTTGAATAGACTCAGAAGCAATACATATATTCTCAAAAATGATTATGGTGCTTCTTTTAGATGAAAATAATTTCATAATAGGAATTTGTTCTGGTAATATATAGCTGAATCTAATGTTTTCATAATAGGGTGCTTTGGGATTACTTGCTATTATTTTATATATATATCTAACAAATGCCTATTTTGGTTTATCAGGATGGTAACTGCAAACTATCAAATTATCGTATCTAGATTCAAAACAAGGTTTGCTAGTAAATTGGTCTTACCTGTACCACTTCTTCCACTAACTATTATCCTAAAAGGCTATGTCATTGCTAGATATCTGACATTTTAAGATGATTTATGCTTTGTGGCCTCATCCATATCTATAATAAATAGTTTCATAGGAGGTATTTTTAAATTTTTTTGTATGACAGATTGGGAATTTATAACTCTCTTTTCTATAGACTGGATAAAAATTTTATTCCTTTTTGATTGGATGAAAAATTTGCCTGTATATATATCATATAATTAATAATATTTTCAAGGCAAAAATAGCAAACTTAATCCTGATTAAATTTAATAAATTTTTTTTTATTAAATTCTACACACATTTAGAATTCAAATAAAAAATTTCATCAAAGTTACTCAGGTAATCGTCGAAATATCTTAAAAATAATCGAAGATCAAAGCTGTGTCAAAACTTTTTAAAACTTTGGAGCGAAAATATTTCAGTAACCACCTGATCAAATTTGATAAAAAAATTTTTTAATTCGAACTTTACAGACTTATTAAATTCAAATAAAAATTTGGTCAGTTGGTTATCGATATCTTCGTTCAAATTCAAAACGTCTCACTATTTATTTTTATGAACAAATCTGACTAGATAATGATCTACAGCGCGTGACCAGTCTGATTGGTTGATGCAAATATGTTCGGTAACTTTTGCATCAGTCAATCAGACCAAAAAAAAAACTCATTCACAAGAAATTAAAAAAGTATTAACTATGAAGTTTCATATTCTTGGTAACGGTGGTCTCGGTAACTTGATTGCTCATTACCTCCGAAAACACAATCATAAGGTTACTTTGATACTTCGGACCCCCTCTGCCCTTGCCTATTTTGAAAAACGTAAACGGACAATAACTGTAATTCAGGATAAAGAATATAATGTTGAGCAAACTCACGGTTATGATACCGAAGTTTTACGTGGATATAATATGAATAAATTAATGGACCAACATTTTCATTATGGCGTGTGCCCACCAAATTTGCAGATTCAGCGACTAATAGTCACAACAAGAGCTTATGATGTTAATCAATCATTTCAAAAGATCTTCCATCGGTTATCTCCAACAAGCACAATAGTTTTATTATCAAATGGAATGGGAATTTATGAGGAACTGATGGAGAATTTTTTCGCAAACAAAAAATCAAGACCAAACATTTTGATGGGAGCGTCCACACATGTATGCCGTAAGATAAAGAATACGGGTAGTCAATTTGATATATTGCATAGTGATATTGGAGAAATTAATCTTGGGGTTATACCTAGACGTGATGACCAATCAATAGAAGGAAATTATTCCAGAGAAATGCCTCCATCATCAGTAGAAGATAATTCATCTACGTTAATGTCGGAAAATTCCGAAAAAGTAAATATTATTGTGGATTCGTTACATACAACAATAAAAACTTTAACCAAAATTCCTGAATTATATGTACGACATATTAATGTGCTAAGCTTGCAAAATAGATTGTTAGAGAATTTAGTAATTAATGCTTGTATCAATCCGATTACGGCAATTTTTAGTATGCGTAACAGAGGGTTATTAGACAATCCAGGTGCTGATCGAGTTTTATATGCCCTATGTAATGAATCAGCTCAGATAATGCAAAAACATTGTGAACATTTAGGAATGAGGCCTACGAACTTGTTTGGTCCTGAAAGATTGATTAACGCAGTAAGACAAATTTGTAAAAAAACTGCTTTGCAAAGTTCTGATATGTTGAAAGATATCCAGACATGTCAGTTAACTGAAATTAATTATTTGAATGGATATTTGGTAAAGCTGGGCAAGATTTATGGGATTCCCACACCAATAAACCAATTTGTTATTGATATGATATATTTGAAACATATCTTACATTCTGATTCTCAACATTTAAAAAGTAGGTTATAGGGAGCCTGCGTTAATATTTAATATAAATTGGCTTAATGTGATCTATTTATAATCCATATGTTTGACAAATTTTAATTACGTACCAAGCACAAATCAACGCGCTTGCCAATTAGCAGATTGTTTATTGGTTTTGTTGCATGTTAATGCTTCGGATGCTTGTTTAAATGCATTAATGCTATTTCTTAACCCGTATTTAAGACCTGAAAAATTATTTATTAATAATATTTTTTTAAAGATTAAATTAGTAAACTTTGCTGATTTTCACATACAACTTACTCTCGTTATAGTGAAGTGACCCGTTTTATTAATAAAAATTTTTTAAAATTTGCGCCATATCGAAAGTTTTATTAATAAATTCACTATATTGAGAGAATTTTATATAAACTGGCCTTGAGCTAAACTTTACTATTCCTTAAACTATAAGCTAATTCCCGGAAAATTTTCCCGAGAAATTTGCTTATGATCTACTTTTTTTAAAAAATAAAAATTTTTTTTGATACTGACAACTATCGATATAACGGAAATTTGGGCTGGCCAAAAAGTTCCGTTACACGGCATATTCGTTATGTCTATATAACAGTATAGGCTTGACAAATATTAAATTCTGTTATAGACCTAATTTAGCCCAAACTTTTTAAAATTATTAGTAAAATATAGTTACAGAACTGTGCTCTGTTTAGTCATTAGCTGATACATTATATTAAGTTTGCTATACGGGTTTAGTTTTGTTCATGAATATGTATAGACAGAAGTATAAATAAATATGAATATGTTATATAAAAAAAATATTAATAGCTTAAATTTTAAGTAAAAATATTTATTACTAAATTTTATATTAATAAGGCTGTTTGAAATTATAATTTTATAATATATTTAATGTTTTTTCTCATCTTTAAGAGTTACTCTAAAATTAAACAGGCCCATTAAAAAATGTTTATTATACTTGCAGATTCTAATAAGTTATATACTTATAAACTAATCAATAATAATATAATTATTGTTACAATGTAATATAATATTTGTTTAAATTGATATTTTTTTACTATATTATGTTTATAAAAAATAATATCAAATTGGAGTATACTAAATTAACTTTTTTCAATAATTACCGTAAATGGCCGGATACAAGATCCCCCTAGATAGTAGATCCACTATGTACTATACCCGGGTCTACAATATAGGATAAAGTTTTGGTAAAATGTAAAAGATCCGGGGTATACAAATAGGAAAAAGCCAAGAAAAATATTATGAAAATAGAATAAACCCTTCAATTATCAGACCCACACCCATACCCACGGGTCTAATTATAGGTTTTAAAATTGGTGAAACGTAACAAACCCGGGTCTTGTATCCGGCCATTTACGGTACTTGGACCAAAACTATGCCAAAAGCAGATTGAAGATTCAAGATCTAAAAGTTTTAAGATATTTAAGCTCTGCTATAGTACTTGTTGTTGGTATTTCTTTATTGCTGAGTTAAGCTCTTTGATAGAGATTGTATCTAATAGGCTTTTATATTAGAAAGTTTATATATAGGTATTAGTATATAATCTTGTTGCTATGCATTTCAATACTGATTGTTTGTAAGGTTAAATTTGGTTTAGGCTTTGTAATAAGTTTATATATAGTCTTTAATTTGAGGTGAGTTTTTAATAATAAGATTGGTATGTCTTTTTAATATACTGTCAATCATTTTAATTATGTTAGTTACAAAGTTGTTATTCTAGTTTTCAATATATTAACTTCAGTGTTGGGTAAATTAATGGTCAAGCAAAAATTTGCTGATCAAATTGGTCTAGTCAAATGGTCAAACTGGTCAAATTGGTCAAGTCTATTATATAAATATAATATATATGTTATATAATAAATTATATTTAAAAATGCTATTTAACCAATTTAATCAATACAAATTTTTTTAACTAGACTGATCAAATAGTCAAATTGGTCTAGTCAATTGGTCAGACTGGTTTGGTCAGCCCAACACTGATTGATTTATATTTGAATATGAGTAATGTTATTTTTAAGTTTTGTTATATAGTAGATTACTTTTATACTATTTTAAGTTTATTTATAGTAATATAAATATTGTTTTTGTTAAGTTAATATCTATTATATAGTTAATTGCTATTTCGCTATATTTGTTTATTTTTTTTATAATTTGGCAATCCTGCATCTGTTTATTTGAAATTAAGCTATTCTAAACATTTATATTACTATCTATAGCTATTATTAATCTAATCAAACAAGAGACCTACTCACAGTTTTTGTATAAATGTGATCTGCTTCAATAGTTTTTGATTTTTCTTTAGATTTTTAACTTACTAGACTTATTTTTTTTAGTCATTGACTAGTGACTATCTGCCTTGTTAATATTACTTAATTATATTTATATTCTATAATATAATTGTGCTTTGGCCATAACCAGTACTTGCAAACAATATAAACATTGAATTACTAATCTTAAAATAAGATTATTACATTGTATATTCTCTATTTTATATATTCTACAAATTTTACTACTACTTAATTTTTCCTGTAATCTTCTATAGCTATCTTTATTTAACTTTTTATACTTCTTTTTTTTCTTTTTATAGATAGTCTGCTCTAATGTTTCAATTTTTTATTTTCTTTCTTCTTTTTGTATTACTTTTAGTTTCTGAACTTTACTTTATTTTTTTACTCTTAATAGTTTATACAGATTTTTTCTATAAGTGTTTTTCTGTAACTCTTTTCTTCTTCTAGTTTCTCTGATAATACTTTTGATTCTTTTGCTTCTATGTCTTAGATAATTTGTTTAAGTTTTCTTTTTCTTTTTTATTAGAACTGCATGATTTTTTTTTCTTCTACTCCTTAGTCTAATTTTTTTCTGAAAAACTTTTTTTAGATTCTTGTATATTTTTTTTAATTTTATGATACTTTTAAAAACTTTCTTATTCTTTTAGATATAAAGTTTTTCTTTTCTTTTTCTAATTTTTTAGAGCTAAATATTTGTTTTCTTAAAGTGTAATAACTTAGTAAAGTTGATAAGTTGTTGCACCTCAAGTGACAGAACAAGAGTTTGAATCCCACTAGTGATGAAATTTAAATTTATAGAATGAGTTACAGCAGACTGTATAACATATTGATCAGGTTAGCATCTGTAATCTTGGTTGCACCAGCTTGTACTAAGAGGTTATAAAATATAGTATAACATATAAGTTACATGAATTCCAAGTAAAACAGACAAATTAATCCAAGAGATTGGTGGATACAGAAGTCTGCTTGAGAAGCCTTAATAAAAAGGTAGCACAGATCTTTAATAGCACTATATATAGAATTATCATTAAGAAACTAGATACCAGAGGTAAACTAAACAAGAACCAAGTGTTTGGAGCATGGTGGACATTCAATTTGATTGGCTTGAAGATCTCTGCATTACACAACATAAAAAAATTTTTTTAAAGTAACTCATACTATGAAAAGCCACATCATTAATTGGCAACTTACGGTTTCACATAGCAAAGTTTTTTAAAAAAACTTTTTTAGTATTTTTTAACTTCTTATATATTTATAAGTGAAAAAGATCAGTATAGATCAGTTTTACTAAAAACTTGGCTTAGAAGACAATATTTTTAGTATTTACTATTATATTAGTTATATTTAAGTTCTAAATTTCGAAGACAGTCAATAAAAAGAGATTATACTATACGTAAGATTTAATTTGAAAACCTTTACACATATTATTTTAACATGTTATTTCAATAATAATAAGTTTATACTAATATTTTTTTTTTTTTTTAGTTTTAAGGTAACCTCTTGGTCGCTGTCCTTTTATTCGATTATTGTTAACTTTTACAGTATAGTATATACCATACTGTACACATATTTGGAGAGTACAACTAGCTATATTTGCAACTTTTGGTTGCCTATTTAAGTAGACCCTATTACTAAGTTCTACACTAGCTATCATACCTATAACCCTACCAAGTTACCCATTTAAACCCTCTGTACCTATGTATATTAATCTTTTAACTGAGTGAGAATACATTAGTACCCCTTTATTTTCAGATCTCTGACTTAGGACTTTAAGACAAACCCACCTATAAGGGTCTTTTGTCCTCGAAGTAAACCTGCTAGAGCCTTTTATACCTACATTTAGGCTAACCTAGACTTCGGTAACTTATACCAAGTCTGAAGACAAGTACTTGCAAGCTGAAGCTACTATCATTACCTACTTTTGCCCTTATAGAGTTCACTTTACTCTAACTCTTACTTATCCAATCAGGAACCTTCCACTGTTTCACCAAACTTCCAATCCAAATAGCCCAGTTTGGTCCACAAGTTATGTTACCCGCTTTCCTACTGGCTTAACCCAGATACCAGCCTGTATCCTTTTCTTCCGGTCAATTCTATTGATCTAGTTGGTATAGTGCTTGCCAAACACCCAATCTTCATCCGAATTCGCAGCTTATTGGTTTTCTTCTCAGACTTTCCAGAGCTGTCGAAAGTAGTACTACCTCTCTACTCAGGACTTGTCAAGT